GGGTGTCCCTCTCTCTGTCATATAACAGAATTGGGGTGCCCTGTAACAGTTCTAGGTACAAAGAGGAAGATTGCCTTATTAATGGTGGTTTCCTTTATAAATGTAAATGTTTCTTCCAAAAAGATAACTTCTGTTTTCAGAGATTCTACTGTGTGCAACAATTTTTGAAAAATAATCACCTCAAAAATAATCCGTTACCCAATGGCAATGTTTGGGGTGGCATATTATGCAGCCTTCAACTTTAAATCGATGCCATAGATATAAGGAAAATACCTTAAACTGAATGAAGTTTACCTTGATTATATTATCAGTATGTTGGAAATGAGCTCAAATGATCACATTTTTGCTAAGCCATTACGTCAGATAGGTTTTGCAATTTGGGGTCAAAATAATTGTTTTAGGGTCATCTCAGGAAATTGTGAGGGAACTATTTTCCTTGATTACACTTCAAAAGTGAGGCTAAAAAAATAATCCCTGGCCAAAGGCTTACTTAACCATTAAAAAGATTTGCATACATTTGGAAAAGACTGAGAAATAAATTCTGAAAGATAAAAAGGAAAGGAGAGGAAAGTCTTGGGAAGAACTTTGTCACTTATTTTCAGTTTGTTTTTGCCTTTAAGCTACTCTTATGAAATGAGTACATTCTACTATTGACTGAAACTGCTTTGTTTTTGTAGAGATGTGTGGGAAAGTATTACTATACTGAGCACAGAAAAAATACCCAAATGCTTTAATGAAAATTAACTTCATTTTTTTAATTTCTTGGAGTTTAAATGTAATACAATGAAAATGCTGAATACAACTTTCCTAAAAATAACTAATTAAAATAGAAAAAATATATTATCAACAAGGGGTAACATGCTAACACTGAAAGTTTTACAGATATCTCAGAATCTAAACACTGGTGAAATCCCCTATGTATTTTAAAAGAGAAGGTCACACAACCAAAATGTTTCTTTCCTAAAGTACATAACTATTCTTTAAGTAAGGGTTTCTTCTGTGTCCTCAACATGGTGAAAGTTCTGTAGTTTAATGGAGATGGGGCGGGAAGTACATTAAATGAGAAGAGAGGGAGAAAATAGATACTTAGGATTCCAGAGAATTAACAAAGACAACAAAAGAGCAACACACGCCGCCACGTTCCTCTTTTAGGTCCCCTCCCCCAGCACAGAGGGCCTTCCCGCCACTGCGCTTTCGGTTTTCACTCCGGTCCGCCAGAACTACATATAAAAACGGGGCTATTCCCACTGACG